TTTTTTCCTCTAATAATGTACCTATTTTTCCTCTCCAAATAATGTACCTATACACATTTACAGGTATATTGTAAAATAATTTACCTGTTGGTAAATAATGTACCTATATTTTATATAAATTATTGTGTACCTATTTTTAATTATGAAAAATGTACGCAATTACAAAGTAACTGATTTTGTTTTTTTTTTTTGGTAAATAATATACCTATATTTTATAGGTATATATTTATATTATATTTTTCATACGTACATTATTGGATATGTAATTTACAGATTTTTTTTTTTTTTTTTTTTTTTTTTGCAATTTTAGGGGGCAATATGTGAGAGGGCTGCTAGATTGGATGGAATTAGATTCTTATAAGCAAATATGTCATCCAATTCAATTATGTCGATTTTGAAAATTATTGGTACTTATTATGAAAAGAGTGCTGCTATTTCCACTGTCCTTTGTCTTCTAATGACTTAAGGAAAATTAAGTTAGAATATTAATCGAGATTAATCCAATGACAGAGACTTTCAAAATCTTATTACCCGCCAATCACCGGATTTACCCATTCACAACCCCTTTACACGACCAGTCCAACTATCTATCCTGCTCAAGTTCGTCTTGCTCTCTCTACTCTCTCGTGTTACTGGCTTCAAGAAGTAAAGGCAATATTGAGAGGTTTTCCCAAACTGCTGGGTCAACAGTACAAGAATCGATTATATTGGAAAACCCATATGAAATAAGGAAAAGGTAATTGAACTTTCCCAAACTTTCCCTTTTCTTGAGCCACAGAGAGAGAGAGAGAGAGAGAGAGAGAGAGAGAGAGTGTGTGTGTCACCCAACAGATGTCATGAAAATGTCATGAGATTGTAACAGTTTGTGCCGTTGGATTAATCCAACTCACTAGTTAACAGACTTCATATAACATACAAAAGAATTTGCCTAAATTAATAATTAAATGGTATATTAGGAACAATGGTGGGTGGAAAGATATGATTGTGTTTGTTCAAATTTATATGGTCGTTGTGAAGATAAGGTTGATAGGAAAATAAGATAGGAGATGAAAATAGCTGCATGCTATCAAAATTATTACCCTTATATGAAAACTATCAACCTCTTGTCTCCTATTGATACTTATTATTCATAGTTATTTACCTATTATTGATAGTTAATTACTTTAATCTAGTAGGGTACATTGCTCGTAGGAAAAAAGAAGAAGTTATTAACCTATTATCTTATATTGATAGTTATTAACCTATTGATAGTTAATTACCTATTATCTCTTATTGATACTTATTTACCTATTATCACTTATTGGTACTTATTTAACATACTTATCATTTTTTCTATGAGCAATGTACCTACTAGAATAGGTAAATAATTATCATTTATACATTATTTTTTGAGTAATGCTACACTTACCATATTTTTATCCCACATTTCTATACCACATGATGTAGCATGTCCATATTATATGCCGCATCAATTAAATCTATGAAGTGTATTTTAATTAAGACAATTAGAAAAACAAATATTTGAATAAATTATAAAAGAAAAGAAAATATTAAATAATTTTAATTGATGTGGTTGTGCACGTCAGCTGCCACATAAGATGGTATAGAGATGTGGTATACAAATGTGGTAAGAGTAGCATTATTCTTATTTTTTACCTATTTTTTTGAATATGTAATATCATTGGTTAATAATAGATAATAATTATGAATAAGAGATAATATGTGTTTTCATCTAATTAACGCACTTATCATTTTTTTTTCCTATGAGCAATGTACCTACCAGAATAGGTAAATAATTTTGGACATTCAATTGGGCTTTCCCATTTCCTCTCATAACAGCGATTGGTAACGATCAAATCTCTAACATAAATGAAAATGTTTCAGATTATATTATTCATGGAACTTGGAATCTTTAAAAATTATCCTCTGTCTTGCCTTTAGAAATTGTTAATTCAATTAAAACTATCAATATACCAGCTATAGATGCAGAAGATAAATTTGTTTGGGGATCAACTTCTAATGAAGTTTTCTCCATCAGTTCGGCTACACGTTTACAACTTCATTATCGTAAAAGAGATATAGTTTAGACTTCCTCTTCCCCCAATTCCTGCTTGTATTAAAAATAAAAAAAAGGAATTAACTACATAAAAGTATCCCACTTTTGGGGTCGTTTTCAATTGGTACTCAACCTTGAAAATTTTGCATGTAGATACCCAACTTGAAAAAAATATACAAACTAGACACTCCATTAGTTAGACTGTTAAATAATATAATAACATGCGCTACTAAAAAAATATAGACTAGCTATTGTTTGTTGACCCAAAAAAAAAAAAAAAAAAAGCTAGCTATTGTTTTAAAGCAAAAAATACAACTATTGTTTTGAATTTGTGTCTACTGTTAATTTTAGATACGTGTACAATTGACAGCCCCCTTTTGTCAATAGCAACGATGCAGCAACAAGTATCCTAGTCTGGCGTGGGTATTGCTCTGAAGAGACAATTTAAGTGATCGGTCCACCCCATGATACAAAATAGATAAAACAATAAACAAAATATCTTAATTGTCCTTTTTATAATTTTCTTTTAGGACTTATTTGAGAGTGATTTTGGAGATGTCAATAATCATTTTTATGAAGAATCACTTTTCCAAAAAATCAATTTAAGTGATTTATGGAGAAGCACATGGGAGTGCTTCTTCCCAGAGGACTCGTTTGGTACGTCGCACTGTACCGACTAATGTCTGTCGAATAGTATTAATCTGTTCCGCAGAGTATTGATTGCTATTGAGGCCCAAAAAATCTAAGGCTGGGCCCAGATATATTTTTGGGCCAGTACAACACCTAACTTGGGTCAGTACAACACCTAACTTGGGTACTTAAGAGTTCGTCATATGCGCTTGCACACATGCCACGTCAAGCAAATAAGCAACATGCCACGCTACAAGCTTAAGTGGGCCTAAGCCACACGAATGCCTGGGGCTTGCTGAGCGGGTTATGATATGAATGGTTACGAGCATTCACGAGGCCTATTGATGGGTCAAGAAGTAGAAGATTTGGGCTTCTTGGGAGCCCCAAAACTTGAACCCATTTCTTGATCCCAAATATGTGGATAAGCATAAAAGGGAGAAAATTGGTCCATCACCTTAATAAAAATAGTCCATCATTTTAGAAAGCTGACTCATTCCCTTAGTAAACTAACCCATCACCCTAGGAAGGGTCAAATGACCAAGAAAATATATGATAGTCTCCAGCACATGGCTAGAGACAAAACCACGACAAAAGCCAAATGCCACTCATGTTTGTAGACTGCTAGGAGACTCCA